CACGAAATCATCTATTTAATGTAATGGAGAGTTCGATGCAATAAAAACAAAAAGCAGCTGCTAATTTTGCACGAAATCTTTATTATAAATATAAAGAGAACGTACTATAAAAGTATTAGATTCTTCTTATAAGAATCGCTCGAACTCCGACTGATTTTCAGGCGGACTTTATACAACACAATCTTACTTGCGTGTACGCACATATAACTCACACACACATATATTTCTCTGGATGGTTTCGAGGAACGGAACGCGTACAAAGCGGTGACGTTTGCAATAACATAACCTAACAATTTTCACATGTTGCTTATATATTCAAACACGAATAAAAATGCAATAATTTTTAAATAATATACTTACTATTAAATAAATATTATCTTTTTATAACAGCAACAAGTATTAAATACTACATATAATATATAATGTTTTACAGGACAGAGAAATATCAAATATAGAGAGAGAGAGAGAAATATATGTGTGTGTGAGTTATATGTGCGTATACACAGGTAAGATTGTGTTGTATAAAGTCCGCCTGAAAACACAGGTCAACAAAAAAAGACTTACTTTTTTTTATGAGATAGCGGAATGGTTTCCTATGTATTTTTGGACGCTGAACACGATCCTGACTTCCAAATTTGCCCATCACGTCAGGATTTTGAGAAAAGTGGGGGTAAAGACCCCAAAAACGCTTTTTTGAGGATTTTCAACATTTCTTTTCTCTTTAACCTGACGTGCTAGAGACTTCCACAAGGTCTTAAATTAAAGCTTGTAATGTGCACTACAAGACCAATATCCATAAAATAAAAAAAAAATAAAATTTTTTTCAAAAAATGGGGTTGAAGACACCAAAAATTTGTGTTTTTAGATTGCTTTAATAGACTTCTTGCAATCGCTTGGATTCGCTTGAAAATGGGTACTTGGGGTTTTTGGGGTCGCTGATTACGAATCCAATATTTGTTTGCAAAAATTTAAAACAGCGAAACCAAGATGGCAGATGTAAGAATTAAGAATTGCTTGGATTCGCTTGAAAATTGTTATTTCAGGGTTTTTGGGGTCGCTGATTACGAATCCGCCATTTTTAATTTTTGCAAACTAATATCGGATTCGTAATCAGCAACCCCAAAAACCCCAAGTAACCATTTTCATGCGAATCCAAGCAATTGCAAAAAGTCTATTAAAGCAATCCAAAAACACAAATTTTTGGTGTCTTCAATCCCATTTTTTGAAAAAAATTTTAATTTTTTTTATTTTATGGATATTGGTCTTTTAGTGCACATTACAAGCTTTAATTTAAGACCTTGTGGAAGTCTCTAGCACGTCAGGTTAAAGAGAAAATAAATGTTGAAATTCCTCAAAAAAGCGTTTTTGGGGTCTTTACCCCCACTTTTCTCAAAATCCTGACGTGATGGGCAATTTTGGAAGTCGGGATCGTGTTCAGCGTCCAAAAATACATAGGAAACCATTCCGCTATCTCATAAAAAAAAGTAAGTCTTTTTTTGTTGACCTGTGAAATCAGCCGGAGTTCGAGCGATTCTTATAAGAAGAATCTAATACTTTTATAGCACGTTCTCTTTGTATTTATAATAAAGATTTCGTGCAAAATTAGCTACTGTCTCTTATGCTTATTGCATTGAAAGTATTTTTACAATAAGTATATGAATCCATGCTAAAAATATAAAAGAAACATTAAGCAATTTAAGTAATGTGCTCTTTCGAGTAATATTAGCAGCAGATTTCTCTCCGTGTAAAGACCCACTTATTAGTTTGATAACTGTATTAATAGTAGATACGTTCATACGATTAAGTAACATAAAAACATCATTTTACCCTTTTTGAAATGAAAAGTCTTTCAACGTATATTCGTCCATGATCTGGTGTATCTGAGGGAAGTTTAGCTCAGATTCTGCATTGCGCATGTTTCAGATTCTGTACCTAACCTTCCGCGCAACATTGGTCCCACGGTTTTAAAGACTTCTCGTTCTGGTGTACAGAATTACAGAAACCAAACTTTTAACACATATACTAAAGTTTTAGCACAGATGCTGTTCTATTTTATCTCAGCATCTGAATAAAATCAGGGAACAATATCTAACCCTCATTTCGCGCGGCTGCTGTATCTGAGTTCAGATGCTGTGCTAAACTTCTCTCAGTGTAATTTTGACTATTAATTTTTCTCTGTGTATTTATATAGACAAGACAAATCATTAACTAATAAATTATTATTATTCGAAAAATTAATAAGAAATTAATCAATAATGAATCTTTAAAGAATTAACCGTAAACCATTAATAAATCAATAATAAATCATTAATTAATCACCGATGAATCATTAACGAATCAACAATGAGTCATTAATGCATCAACTATGATTCAACAATGAATTAATATCAACTGATAAAAAACTACTTACATTTAATTGTAATGTATATTTTATAATGATTATATAATAAGAAAGCTCTTAAAGTAAAATATCCTGATATGTACTTGTCTTGAAGAAAAAAATTTTCAAGACTCGTTAAAATAAAATATTTGGATAGATAAGACAAATCATTAATGAATTAATAATGAATTAAAAAGAGACAGGTGTGAATATCTGAAATCTATTTCAGGTGTTGTACACGGAAATAAAATTTTAACTGGAACTGCAATAAGGTGAAAGTCTTAACTGAAATAACTAAAACTTTCGTTAATATAGTGAAATTTATGGTTGTTCCAGGTAAATTTCTTTGTCGTGTGTACATATACCCAATATACAGATTCACACATCACAAATTGCACTAACACATGTGTAAAATATAACACAGATGAGGGTCGAAACATGTCGAAAAAACAGTTCTCTACTCTGACGGTTGAATTAAAATGTAGGGTAGGAATCTGCATTTCAATCAACTGTTAATGATGGAATCTGCAATACCGACTGTGGGTTGGCATTGAATTCCAGATATTTATACCAAACTCACGGATTCACACATAGCAAATTGCACTAGTAAAAAGGGTTAGGTTAGAAATTAGGGTTAGGTAGAAATTTAACAATTTCAAATATACGCGCCATACCCGACTGCAGCGCTAGTGGCAGCCTCGCGAACTAATTTCAAAAACGCGCGCCATTCACCGACTGCAGCGCTAGTGGCGCCTCTAGCGGCAGCCTTGAGAACTATCGCGTAGAACTCACATTGTCTAACTACTTATGTTTATCCTCCACATCCGTTAGCCGTCAACAAAATTTTATTGACGTTGCCCAGCTCTTACCACAAGGAGGTCGACGTGCAAGAAAGCTACTTTTTTTATTTTATTTAAAAAATTTTTGTTGTTTTTTTTATTCAAAATTTTTTTTTGGATATTTTAATATTGTTTAAATAAATAATATAAAATTTTAATTCTGCTTTCTAAATCTGAATCAACGATAATTATGACACTTATATAATTATGACATTTTTTATACAATGATAAAAAAGAGACTAACACTACATGTGGTTTTATTGAAAACAAGTGACGCACATATATATGCTTCATTGAATGCACAATTTTTGTGTTCTTTTGTTGCACTTTGCATGATAGTGGCATTATTTCTCCAGGTAAAATCGAAAAAAAAAATTTTTAATAAAATGAAAAAAAATGGTTTTTTTGCATGTCGACCTTCTTGTGGTAAGAGCAACGATAAACATAATATTGTTCTGATGTTAGATTCGTAATCAGCGACTCCAAAAATCCCTGAGTAACTATTTTCAAGCAAATCCAATCACTTTTTAAAAAATATGTCCGCCATATTGGATACGCCATTTTGAATTTTAAAGAAGTGATATCAGATTCGTAATCAGCGACCCGAAAAACCCCCGAGTAACTATTTTCAAGCAAATCCAATCACTTTTTAAAAAATATGTCCGCCATATTTGATCCGCCATTTTGAATTTTAAAAAAGTAACATCAGATTCGTAATCAGCGACCCCAAAAACCCCCGAGTAACTATTATAAAGCAAATCCAATCACTTTTTAAAAAATATGTCCGCCATATTGGATCCACCATTTCGAATTTTGAAAAAGTAACATCAGATTCGTGATCAGCGACCTTAAAAACCTTCGAGTAACCATTTTCAAGCAAATCTAATAACTTTTAAAAAACATTACCCAAAAACTTTTTTCGGCCTTTTGCATTTTGGAAAAATGGCCATTTTCATATCCGCCATCTTGAATTTTAAAAAAAGTAATTATGGATTTTTATAGCTTAGAGTTCGAGGACGCGATATTTTGTGCTTTGGAGACCATATTCTTTAGTTTTCCATGTCAAAATAATAATTGAAAAATTTTTTTTTCATAAAAAAGTGTGTTTTTTTGCAATAAAATTGTTATAAATTTTTTTGAGATAATTATAAACAAATTTTAGCTTCATATTCCGAAAAAGCGATAAATTTTACGTCGGAAATGGTATTTCCTAAAATTTTTAACTAATTATTTCATACAAAATAAGAGTCGTGAAATCATGGTACATTTTGCGTCCTGGTGGGCGTTAATAGGTTAAATTAGACCTGGGACCAAAACGAAAATTTCTGTGTGTGTAGATTTTGATGTGATTTAGAAGTTAATATTTAATTCAATAGTTCCACTTTCTCGTAAATTGATAAAAACGTCAAAAGTATGTTATTTGGCGAACCAATTTTAAAAACATATTTGATCTATTATTTTTATATTTTCACAATAATTAATCAACTAATTTTAAACATAATGCTAAATATTTGCTAAAAATGTGCCATTTTTCCGCACCTTCTCCAATTTACACTCATATTTTAAGAAAAGGAATAAGTATTTTAATATAATTCTTTTCATTTCGTTCTCCAGAAATCGTACAGATTGATTTCTAGAAGTATAAATTTTTTTAAAAATTAGACCGCAACGACTTTATTTGAAATATAATTGTTTGACCCTATAATTAAAGAAATTAAAAAATTTTAAACATTAAACTCATTTGAAATTCACAATATTATTTGTTTAATTTATGTCATTACCTTTCAAAAGTTCATTTACTAAAGCATTCAAATCACTGCCGACAATTGTCGTTGGAACGGATAAAGGATAATTTGGCACAGTGTACCTAAAAAAATAAATAACGGTTCAAACTTACTGTAATACCTCAAGAAATTCCATACAAGTTTTATAGTTAAAAAATAGTGTACATTGGTTTCATGTTTTATTGATACTTCTCTTCAAAAAATCCTCTCTCACGTTGGTCGTCTAAAAGAAACCACTATTCAATTGTTTTTCTAAAGTACCCGAACAGTATTTTTTCTCATAACCTGGTAATCATTTGTTTTATACATTTTTTATTTAAAGGTTATCATTTGTAAGAAAATCTAAGCACAATTTATAATCAGTCATTATTGATAGAGTATATAAATGTTTATTATATTAATGTGGCTAAATTACGAAAAAGTGTATTTCGGTTACTTTAGAGGAACAACTGAACAGTGGTTATTCTAGACGACCAACGTGAGAGAGGAGTTTTTTAAAAGGAGGTATCGATATATTCTAATTGTTTAGCCCTTGCGGTGTCACTTGTCATCCAAATTCTGGTCAGGAGTGTCAAGTGACGCCTGTGACCAAAATCTTACCACTATTTTATAGATTCGCTTAAAATTGAGTGCTAGGGTTACTAAGTACTAATCCGGTAAAGTTTTTCAAAATTTAAAATTGACCAATTAATAAATTTAAAGCAAATCATTTTATCTGAACTTCTGTTATCCGAACTTTTTTTTGGCCTCCCGAATCTTTCAATACAAAATAACGAAATTTATGCCAAAAAAATCTTAAAGAATCCTGAATTCTCTGTTTTATTAATATATTATTATGAATTAATATATATTTACATATGAATACTTATGTATATTTTTAAAAATGTATTAAATAAAAAAAATTTAGTTCAACTGTCCAATTTTTTAACTTTAATTACACTACCGTCCACGAGTATCAGGACGATTACACGCGACTCTATGAGAAAACATGCCATCACTTTTTCAATCATATCTCGGAAATAAAAGGAGATACAAAAAATACTTAAATACAGTTAGAAAGCTGGTTAAATTTTGCATAAAATAAGCCATTTCATTTTTGTCTCATAACTTCAACTTTTTCAAAAATCTAGAAAAATTTAGATAAAAGTTTTTTAAAAACACAGAAAGCTTCGCTAAAATTTCAGCTTTAAAATAAGCCTTCGAAAATTAAAAAAGGTTAATCCGTCTTCAATATCATTAAAAATTTGAAGCCGAGTTTCGACTATTGGTGCATTGGAATTTAACTGTGACGACTCGATTCTAGCTTCGCGTGGCTGCGAATGGGAGAGAAAACAGGGACGGATTTATGCTGGGGAATAATAAATAATGATGTTTCACGAGTAATATACAGAAACTCTATAAATCATTTTTAATGATATATAGAAGACGGATTAATCTTTTTTAATTTTCGAAAGCTTATTTTAAAGCTGAAATTCTAACGAAGATTTCTGTGTTTTTAGAAAAATGCTATCTAAATTTTTCTAGATTTTTGAAAAAGTTGAAGTCAAGAGACCAAAATGAGAAAATTTGATAATTTTTTTTATTTCTTTCTCACTATACAGCTCAAAAAATAGTTAACGAAATGACTTCAAAGACGGCTTATTTTACGCAAAATTTAATTATCTTTCTTACCGTATTTAAGTTTTTTTTTGTATCTCCTTTTATTTCCAAGATATGATTGAAAAAGTAATGGCATGTTTTTTATAGAGTCGCGTGTTCGGATAATCGAGGTTCCACTGTATATTTATTAATGATGTAATTTTTTACTCGGATTTAGATACACAGCTAATACCTACTTAAATCAACATTATTATTGTATATTCTTTTCTTACATTAAAAAAAATTGTTGAAAAAACGCTTTTTTATCCCACATGCACAAAAATGGCGCTTTCTGATAGCAGACGACAAGGAGCAAAGTCATTCATTTCTTCGACCGTATGAAAATAGCGTTTTTCTTGCCCATGGGTGAAAACGGCCGCCATTTTCATACAAGTCGAACAAGTGAATGATTTTTACTCTCTGTCGTCTGCTATCTGAAATCGACACTTTTGTGCATTAGGAATAACAAATATCGTAAGTATCATGAGAATAAAGGCAACTAATTTCTTTACGATGATTTTTGTGACACGAGTGGAGGTCTCGGGATGCCTACGGCGCCCTCGACCTCCACTCGTGTCACAAAAATCACCGTAAAGAAATGGCTGCCTTCATCCCCTTGTTGCTTAATATACTATTTATAGCTCACGTTTTACTCAAAAGGCATTTTTTAAAATCGGCACGCAGCATAACTCAGTTTCCAATATTTTCAATCGAGTTTTTTACATCTTTAAAATTGAATTTCGAAGAGAAATACATAGAGGTGTTTTGATAAGTTAATTTATAAACAATTGTTATACACAATTAAGTGTCTTTTTTTTGGCGAAAAATGAGTATTTTCTTCAAATGCTTACCAATTACACAGCAATAAATATTTACGGTGCGCCTGAAATAGGTTTTTATAAAATGTTCCTGCACTTGAAATGTTCTTGTAGATTTTGAATCTGTGAAGTTTCAAGAGCATTTTAAGACCAAAAAGAAAATAATCCCCGGAGTCCTTTTTGAGAAAATTAACTTTAAATATATTTTTTAATTTTATATTGTTAAATTGTTTAAGAATTCAAATTTGATTCCATGGAAACAGCGCATATTGCTAAGGTCAGTCTGTAGAGAGAAAGTCTTGAAAATTTAATGTTAGTTTTTGATTAATTAATGTTGTGTTCTTACGGTCTTTCAAGTAATTTTAAGATGTCGAAAATTACTTTCTCACATGGAGAAAATCGGACCAAGGTTTGCTATTTATGTTTAAAAAACCAAAAAAATATGTGACTCGCTCCCAAGAAAGGTACCCAAGAGGCAAACGAATTATAGGTTAGGTTCGAGTTAGATTTATATTGATAAACAGTTTATTTTTAATTATTTGAATTTGAAACAAATTTTCATTTAATATTTTTTATTTAATGAAGATTTGAAGATCAATAATTATTAATTAATAATTGATTTTCTTTCCGTATTTTTACTCAAAAAATTGGAAAACATAACCTCAAATTTTTTGCTTCTTAGGTACCTTTCTTCGGAGCGTGACATACATATGTTAAAAATACATATCACAAATTTTGACGGAAACTTCTTTGACCATATCAAGTTACCTACTAACCAATTTTCGGCATCTTAAAATTACTTGAAAGACCGTAAGAACACAAAATTAATTAATCAAAAACTAACATTAAATTTTCAAGACTTTTTCTCTACAGACTGACCTTAGCAATATGTATAAACACACTGTTTCTATGGAATCAAAGTCGATTTTTTAAACAATTTAAAAATATAAAATTAAAAAATATATTTAAAGTTAATTTTCTCAAAAAGGGCTCCGGCGATTATTTTCTTTTTGGTCTTAAAATACTCTTTAAACTTCACAGATTCAAAATTCATAAGAAAATTTCGAGTGCAAGAACCTTTTATAAAAACCCATTTCAGGCGCAATATTTTTAGCATCCCCTACGTATTTGTCTAGCTATTTTCATGTAGATTTAGAAAAGATTTTTTTTGTCCTAGACTAAAAGCATTACACGGAAAATCTTTGTTCAAGAAAGATTACAACTTCAGGAAATGAAGATATGGAAAAAATTCTATGACTGTTTATAAATGTTTTGTATAATAAATGAAACTTTTCTCTATTTTTACTAAACTGGAAATAAATCCTTTTTAATATTTTAGGAAAAGGTATAAATGAAATTTCAGAAATAATTTCGGAGAATGTTTAAAATAATTCTATATTTCTTTCAAAAGATTTAATAGTTCTTTATAATTCTTTTGAAAGTATTCAAATTGTATGTCATGTAAGATTTCTATTTCTGCGTTTCTGAAAATTACAAAACTGGAATAGAATCGTTTGATGCGCAGTAAGCACTACGCAAGTACATCTCTGTGAGTGGTGATTAAGACCCTAGCCTAAACTGACATAACCGGCAAACGATAATGCTTCGTTAACGGATTATTTGAAAGTGCTAATAATGAATTGATTTAATTCATATTATAATTCGTAAAAGTCATAATAATTTTTTTTTGAAAAATTAAATTTAAACATAAATATTATGTTCAGAATATTATTTTTTTATTGTTTCACTAGAGATCATGGAGCCGTTCCGAAATGAGGTAAAAAGTGTTAATTAGTTTATACTGTCAAGTTATTACACCTAAAAAATTTATGTATTAAAGTTAATGGTTCTTTTTTTAAATTATTAAGTGTATATACTATTTAAGAAAATAAAATTGTTTGTCACAAATTGTTCCACTTGAATTCGTAATTTATAATAGTAAATTATTATATTGGTTAGCATTGATTTAAGGAGTGGTTTTGCATATATATTCTTTAAATATTGTAATAAATAAATTTAAATGAATAAAACATTAAAATTTATATAAAACTATTAAAATGTATAAGTAAAATAATTACTAGCTTCTTAATTTCGTTAAAATATAGAATCTTTTCAGTCGAAAAAATTAACCTTTAATTAATTATTCCATATTACATTTATTTTAATTTAAATTAATTAAAAAAAGTTAATTTTAATAAAACCTTATTTCTTCTCACAAGTGGCTAAGAAAACGCAGGTTTAGTATATAAGAGAGATTCAAAGCAACTCGTGGTATGTTATATGCGTGCGTGCGAAAGCGAGTGTTATATGTATTCGTATAGTTGTAAGATAGTGTTAGTTTTAGGTGCGTTTATTATAGTGTGTGTAATCTGTGACAGAATAATATACTTTGTGTGTGTCAGTGTGTGTGCGACCCCTCCTAAACCCATGTGTCTGCGCAGGTCTGTTCCTTCAGCGTAACTCACAGACATTTAATTTTTTTCACGCGAGTCCGTATTTTTACGAAACTGCTCTTGAATTCTTATTTTGTGACGCCTGATTTTGTGCGAAATCAGAAATAGAAATGGAACTCTTCTTTCAGATCTTAATATTAAAATTACTGAACAATTTATCAAGACCTTCAAAAT